TTTTTAGAGCAATGGCAATGGATAAGGATAACATACTGTTGCTTATTTGCTTATTCTTTGTGCTATTTGAAGGTGGTTTGGGTGCGCAAGATCCTCCTGTAACTAGAGTTGTGAACATAACTAATGACTTGGGATCACGGATCAAATTAGTCGTTCACTGCAACTTTCACGGCAAATTCCATGATGAAAACCTCGGCCTACAAACCCTCTCGTTTCACCACTCCTTTTCTCATAGCTTCAAATCCGATGACGTCACTCCCAAGACACGACTCTTTTGCTTCTTCTGGTGGAAAAATGGCAATAATGATGTCTTTGACTTGTATAATCCGCAACGAGATGATCCTCGTTTTGCATCTAAGTATTCTTGGAGCATTAGACGCGAAGGAGCTTATTTTTATGATGAGAAAAAACATCAATGGGATCTTCTCTACACTTGGAAAAAGTGAGACAAAACACTATATCTTATATTCCGAGGAATAAATAAAAACTCTAGGAATAAATAAATGAAAAGTCCCTTCCGCTTTTCTTCTCTTGCATCCACTTATTTCTATGTTTCTCTTGTTAAATTTTCATATATCAACTTTCTCTTCTTTCTTTTTCATTATGCTTCTTTCTTTTTTCGTTATATGATATTTTAAGAAAAAAAATCTATCTATTATATTAGGAACAAGTTTTTTTTTCTTTCCAATATTAGGAATAAGTTGAGTAAATTAAGAAACACGGAAATATATGAGCCAATACGATTTGAATATTGTTTGTTCCCCTTATTTTTATGATTTGATTTTGACCAATTTTGTCTTGAAGAACATAAAGGACGCAACCTCTAGGGTTCTACCTTTCTTTATTCATTTTATTCTTTTCAGTTTTCAGCAACGTCTTGAGATCGTGTATAATATTTAAGGGCTTGTTTGTTTCGTACATGATCGGGGCTTACGGATGACTACATTGTTAGCATTCATGATATGAAGTTACGAATATGAAATTTGATTTCAAGAAACCAATTGTTCTCATAGTTTTATGTTGATGAATCCCCTTGTTTATGCATCTGATCCGTCTATGGCCACAGAAAAATTACAGTACAGTGACATGTAATTTGAAATGTCCGAAACACGAAAATGCCTAACTCCCTGGTTAGTTTATTAGATAAGTTTTGGTAGCAACAACAATTTCTTCTTGTTGCATATCAAGTATCAACTAGCTTCCTTCACTTAAAGACTGAACCTTTCCAGAAACAAAAACATATATAGCTTAACTCCATCAATTGGTGAGTTTCCAACCAAATTAAATATCGGAAAATGGCAGAAAAGAAATTAATAGAATCGCAGCATTCGAAATAGCTCACATCATTCAAAAATTGCTTCAAAAAATTTTCTGCAGCTTTGGCACTAAAGTACTGACAGTCCTTACATTTGTTATGATTTAGGGGAAAAATTAAAGGATACCCTGTTTGGTCGAATACAAACCAGGTGGAACCAGTTCTCAAAGAGAACGCTCCACCACCAGCTGCCAGTCCTAGCATTGTCAAATGTAAATAAACTTTCCTAACTTCGCCAGCATCATGCAGGAAAATCATCTTTGCAGAAAACTTCTGTTCCAATGTAGGTTTACCAGTTTCTAGGCTATGAGCATCGATGCAAATGATTACACTCGGGCCTTCCTGGTGCAAATAGAGTAACTTTTCCAGAAGGAAAAATTCGGGCTGTGTCTTGTGAGCGCGCAATGCGGAAGATTGCTAACGATAGCGTATATTTTAAGGATGGATGTGGAGAAACATGTATCTACCATGTGTTTTGTGTTATAAAACTACTGGCTTCCGATTAAACCTGCAATATATAAGATGTTACTAATGAAATTTTTTCATCGGCGGTTTCAAAATCCCTTTCATTCTGCTTGTGCCATTTGTATTGCCATTGACAACATTAGGTTTTCGGCTTTCTTTGGCTTAATTCCATTGAGCGCTACGTGACATTGAAACCACACGTGTACGAATGAGGAATAAGTTTGGGCTTTGTTGTTGGTTAAAGCTGAAACAGTCGTATTTGAAAGATAGCTCCGTAGTCAAAATATTAAGATTTAAATCCTTGTGGTGAACTCCGTTAACAAATTTAATTCCGAAACATTTTCCATTAGATACAGGGGTCAAAATGTACTTTGACATGTACACCTTCTTCTCCCACGTCTCTCTCCTCTCTATGTAATTTGTATTTTCACTTACTTCCATTTCGGGATTCTGTATTTGCATAATTGATTTATAATTAGTTCGCACTGTGCATAATTAGTTTATATTTTTCATCTTCCCATCCCTTTTTTCAAAATTTTATTATTATATTAGTTTCTCTCTCATAATTAGTAGTCATATTCTGGTTTGTTTTGAAAAGTTAACTCTGGTTAAGCAAAAGAAGACGTAGGTGTATGGGGAGGATTCACCAAAGTTTAATATCATTGGATATACATAATATCATTCGATAAAGAAGCAACATGCTATCAGGCATCTCTAATAGGAAATTGCAAATTTGAGATGAGAAAAGAATTAATCTTGGCAATTAATTAATGAGGATTTTTCCATATATTGCTGTATTGAAAATAATAATAATGAGGATTTGGCAATGAATTAGAAAAAATAGAGCTTGTACAATGTATAGAGTTGATTTTCTAGATAAATACATTTCCACGTGATATATTTGTTTATGGTAATTAGCATGTATGGCAGTCCCATCCCATAAAGAGCTTGTTTGACAAAAATATATAAAGGGTGCTTTGGTTGTTGCTTGGACACAAACAAACAAACAAACAAACATTTACCCTTTGATATAATTTTTAGAGCAATGGCAATGGATAAGGATAACATACTGTTGCTTATTTGCTTATTCTTTGTGCTATTTGAAGGTGGTTTGGGTGCGCAAGATCCTCCTGTAACTAGAGTTGTGAACATAACTAATGACTTGGGATCACGGATCAAATTAGTCGTTCACTGCAACTTTCACGGCAAATTCCATGATGAAAACCTCGGCCTACAAACCCTCTCGTTTCACCACTCCTTTTCTCATAGCTTCAAATCCGATGACGTCACTCCCAAGACACGACTCTTTTGCTTCTTCTGGTGGAAAAATGGCAATAATGATGTCTTTGACTTGTATAATCCGCAACGAGATGATCCTCGTTTTGCATCTAAGTATTCTTGGAGCATTAGACGCGAAGGAGCTTATTCTTATGATGAGAAAAAACATCAATGGGATCTTCTCTACACTTGGAAAAAGTGAGACAAAACACTATATCTTATATTCCGAGGAATAAATAAAACTCTAGGAATAAATAAATGAAAAGTCCCTTCCGCTTTTCTTCTCTTGCATCCACTTATTTCTATGTTTCTCTTGTTAAATTTTCATATATCAACTTTCTCTTCTTTCTTTTTCATTATGCTTCTTTTCTTTTTCGTTATATGATATTTAAGAAAAAAAAAATCTATCTATTATATTAGGAACAAGTTTTTTTTTTCTTTCCAATATTAGGAATAAGTTGAGTAAATTAAGAAAACACGGAAATATATATGAGCCAATACGATTTGAATATTGTTTGTTCCCCTTATTTTATGATTTGATTTTGACCAATTTTGTCTTGAAGAACATAAAGGACGCAACCCCTAGGGTTCTACCTTTCTTTATTCATTTTATTCTTTTCTGTTTTCAGCAACGTCTTGAGATCGTGTATAATATTTAAGGGCTTGTTTGGAACTTTAATTTATAGACTCATTAACGATTTTCACACTCATATCATATCTGTTTGCACTCTTCTTTTTATTGATGGTCACATGATTAAACAAATTAGTAAAAATGTATGAACAAAAACATATACATAAGTGTATGAGGAGAAAATGAAAGCGAAACTCATATCCCTTACCAATATGTCGAAATTCTTATCAAAACTTCGAGAGCTTTCATCATTCAGAACTAATTTGCAAGATTTATTTTTCTTTTTCAAACAATGCAGAATGCTTTTTTCATTTTAAAATACGTTTTACAATTACAGAAGTAACACGCTGAAAAACAGAACAAAAGGTTATGCTTATTAAACTTCGCACGCTTTCATCATTTATATCCCATTTCCCATATTTCTTTTTCTTTTTCAAACAATGCAGAACGCTTTTTTTTTTTTTTTTTAAATACTTTTAACAGTTACAAGAGTAACGAGTTGAAATACTTTTAACAGTTCTAAGAGTAACAAGTTTGTGCCATGGCTTCCAGATTTCATCACCACCACTGGACATGGAACACGCGGTGAATCCGCCATGAAAGAGAACTAGACAAAAACACACCCCTTCAAATCCAATCCCCCACGCACTAACACACCCCCATCAGAATTACTCGTTGAAAATCCCCAGGAGAATTAGAAAGAAATTGATGTTTGGCCAGAAAACCCACGAACTTTCACGGCCTAGATTTGAAATTCGAGCCTATCAACTTCGAATTTGATGAAAGTAGATATTTGGAAGGGTATTAAGAGAGGATTATACGAATATCAGTTTTTGAGTCGTTGGTGTCGGAGGACAGCCGCGCCGTCGCCTCTTCGGTGCTAGGCTGCCGTTGCCGCGTTGAAGGGGGAGAGTATACGGGAGGGAAGAAGAGAGAGTAGAGGAAGAGAGAATTAGTAGGCTAAATTAAAAAAATTAATTTTGTTTTTTAATCCACATGGCACCATAGTGGACGAGCCTAAGTGTCACGTCAGCACACTAACAAATTTCTTAACAAAATACATACGGACGGATGACATTGATCTGCAACATGCAAATTCCAGGACGACATTGATTGATTTTCAATTTAGAGACTATCTTGAGGTGAGTCAATTTCAAAGATTATTTGTAATTAAAACCCTATATTATATATATATATATATATGTATGTATGTATGTATATATGTATGTATTAGTGGCTAGTCTTAATTAAATTAAGTAGGTGAGTTGAAGCTAGCAAATGGCAGAAGCCCTGGATTTCCGCTCCCCATATCTACTCTCTGTAACTCTTCTCCTCCTCCTTGTCGTAGCCGTCTTCTTCTCTCCTTTGAACCAACGACACCATCTCTCTCTCACTTTCTCTTCTTCTCCCACCTTCTCCTCCTCCCAGTCTAACTTCCGACAGCAAACCGCCAGCAATTTCAACACCACAACTTTGCATGTTGTTGCACCTGCAACTTCCCCATCCCCAACATCCCAGCCACCGCTCGAGCTTCGCCGCCGCCATGCGCCTTCCTCAACTTCCACCGCCTCCAAACTCAGTCACGCTACTACCAAAGTACGTAAACTTCTACGATGCATGGACACGCGAGAAAGCAACCGTATCCCGTATCTGACACGCTGAGGATACGGATACGCGGATGATACGCGTGGATACGCGTTCGATACGTATTGGAGTGAAAGGATACGTTTGGGACTGATGAGATACGCGTATCGTATTGTCCAGATACGTGTATCCTACTTTTCGGATACATTTGAAACTGAAATAGGAGGATAATCACAAAAAAAATCACAAAAAATCCGCATAGAATCGTGATTGATCGAACTTAGTTAACTGAAATCACTCTAAAATCAAAGGATAATCAGAAAAAAAATATTCGGATTTACCTCTCAGAAATCACTCTGCTTGGGAGACTTTCACGAATCCCCATTGACCGTCATCTGCAACTGTTCCGTGACCCGTCGTCTCCATCTGCAACTGCGCCGTCGTCTCCCTCTTCTTCGTCTACAACTGCTCCGTCGTCTCCTTCGTCTGTCTGCAACTCCTGGTGAGTCGTAACCGGTGAGCTTTAGTTGTTTTTTCACCAGTCTCTCAGCTTTACTGATTCTACCCATTCGAAGACAATAATATTATAATACCCATTGGAAGACAATCTGATTCCCCTAGGAAAAGAATATAATATTATAGTACCCACTACCCATCCATTCCACTACCCGCATAGTCCATTCAAATCTGACAACTTTGGCTTTTCTGTTTTTAACTTTTTCTGTTATTATAATATTATTGTATTTTGCATATTATAGTATATTATTGTGTAGTGGTATGGATATTTAGATTATAATAACTTTGTCTTTACAGTGGATTAACTCTTACTTTTTATATGTTTGTTGATTTAGGAAAATGAATCACCCTAATAATCATGCAAATGATATTGCTAATCCGGATGATAATGCTAATCTGTATGAGATTGTTGAAAATGATCATACTCCGTTGTGGAAGTATGTCAAAAAGCTCGAAAAAGTGGGAAAAAAAAGGAGGAGGGAATGCTGAATTCAAATGCAATTATTGTTAGAAAACTTACAAAGGATCATACTCTAGGGTCAGGTTTCATTTGTTAAAAATGGCTGGAAACGGGGTCGCACTTTGCAGCAAGGTTACTGATGAAAATCTTGCAGAAATGAAAAAGTTAATTCGGGAGTGTGAATATAAGCTGAAGAGTTCTGCTCCTAAGAATGTTTCTTTGCCCAACACTGGTTCTTTTTGTTATGATCAACCTGAAGTGAATCTTGATCCAAAGAAGAGAAAAGGAACAAGTGGGCCTCTTAGTAAAACTTTTAACAAGGAAGCTCGAGATCAATGTGATGCTGAAGTCGCAAGGATGTTTTATACAGGTGGCTTATCATTTAACCTTGCAAGAAATCCGCATTATCGAAACTCATATGTTCGAGCTTCTACACTTCCAGGGTATGTTCCACCAGGTTACAATGCACTAAGAACTACTCTTCTACAACAAGAGAAGAGTCACATTGAGCAATGCCTCCAGCCAATCAAGCGCACATGGAGCACTAAAGGTGTAAGTTTGTGCAGTGATGGGTGGACAGATGCACAAAGGAGACCACTTATTAATATTATGGTAACTTGTGAAAGTGGGCCTATGTTCTTGAGGGCAATTAATTGTGAAGGTGAATATAAAGACAAGTATTGTATTGCCAACTTCCTTACAGAAGCTATTAAAGAAATTGGTCATGAAAATGTTGTTCAAGTGATCACTGACAATGCTCATGTCTGTAGAGCTGCTGGGTTACTTATTGAGGCCCACTATCCCCATATCTTTTGGACACCCTGTGTTGTTCACACTCTTAATCTTGCTTTGAAGAGTATATGCTCTCCGAAACAAATAGATGTTTCGTATGATGACTGCAATTGGATTTCAACTATTGCAAGTGATGTTTGGTCCATAAAATTTTTTATTATGAACCATAGCATGAGATTGTCTATGTTTAATGAACATTGCAAACTAAAGTTGCTCTCCATTGCCGAAACAAGGTTTGTTTTCTCCACTTTTTTTCCTTTTTTTTTCTTATTCAATTATGAGCTATCCTAATTATTAAATTTTTCAGATTTGCTTCCACACTTGTGATGCTTAGAAGATTTAAGGAAGTAAAGGAAGGTTTACAACAAATGGTGATTAGCCCGAATTGGGCTTTGTACAAAGAAGATGATTTGGTTAAAGCAATGACGGTGAAGCAAAAAATATTGGATGAGTACTTTTGGGAGAAGATTGATTATATTCTTTTCTTTACAACTCCAATATATGAGGTTATTAGAATGGCTGACACAGATAAACCTTGTCTTCATTTGGTGTATGAGTGGTGGATGGGATGCTATGATTGAAAAGGTGAAAGCTGCTATCTACAGGAATGAGCGCAAGGCATTACATGAAAAAAGCAGCTTTTTTGATGTGGTGTATCGCATTTTATTAGAGCGATGGACTAAAAGTAGCACACCACTTCATTGTTTGGCGCATTCATTAAATCCAAGGTAATGATTTTGCTAATATACTTATAAACTCTTCCAAAATTAATCTTTAGCTTTATGATTATATTTTTAAAGTGCTATATTTTTATTTTTAGGTATTATAGTTCAGAATGGCTCCAAGAAGACCCTAGTCGGGTTGCTCCCACACCAAGATGTTGAGCTTACAACTGAAAGGAAAAAGTGTTTTGAGAGATACTACTTTTCCAATGAGGAAATTAGAAGAAGTATCAATGTGGAGTATGCCTCTTTCTCTATGTGCTTGAATGACTTTGGAGCTATTGATTCTATGAATGATAGGTTTCATTTGGAACCAGTAATGTTGTGGATTGTCCATGGAGCTTCTACACCTAGTCTCCAATCCATAGCGTTGAAGCTACTTGGACAACCTTGTTCCTCCTCTTGTTGTGAAAGAAATTGGAGCACTTACAGTTTTATTCACTCTCTAAGAAGGAACAAGATTACACCACAAAGAGCCGATGATTTGGTATTTGTGCATAATAATCTTCGTCTTTTATCAAGGAATAGCGCAACCTACAAAGAAGGTATTAGTCAATTGTGGGATGTTGGAGGAGATGGCTTTGAAAACTTGGGTGAAGAAAGTGTCGGGATGCTTGATATTGCTAACCTTTCACTTGATGAACCATCATTGGAGACTACTTTGATTACTGGAGGAGACATCATGAACGTGGAAGTTGAATGAGACTTTTTTTTTTTGTTAATTTCATTTGGATGTTCTTTTTACTTTTTCAAGTTTTAAGACTAATTGCTTGTTGGATGGACTATCTTTCTAACAGTTTAGAGTTTATTGAATATAAAATAATTTGAATGCTTATTTTATAATGTTTTAGATATATTTTTATTTATTTATTTATTTATACATATTTTTAATTGCCGTATCCTTGACGTATCGTATCCTCGTTTTTTGAAATTTGACGTATCCCCGTGTCGTATCGTGTCGTATCCCCGTATTCGTGTCCGTGTCCATGCATCATAGGTAAACTTCCATTTTTTTACTGTTTAATTATTATTTTTTTGTTTATAAAAAAAAATCATTTGGGTAAATTTTAATGTGTGTTTAAATCCCGAAGAAGAAGAGCAAAACGGAGAGGATTGAAGAGGAGTTGGGGATAGCAAGAGCAATTATCCGCAAAGCTATTCTCACAAAGAATGTCACCTCCGACCGGAAGGAGACTTACATCCCCAGAGGAAGTGCCTACAGAATTCCATATGCCTTTCATCAGTGAAGTCCCTTTTTATTTTATTTTTAATCTCATTTTCTCTATAAATTTTTTTTCAATTCTAAATTTTTGGTTTTATTCCTTTGTTAATCAGCATTGAGTGATTGACAATTGGGTGACATGCATTTAGCCAAATAATTTTCCAAATATAATATATAATAATTCCATATAACGCCAATTACTTTTCTTTAATTAAAAACAAGAAATTAATTACATATTAGCAATTGTAGACGTGTGCTTATCAAAATTTGGAAAATGAAATTTACAAAAAGAGAAAATATAAAATGGTTTATAAAGTTTTTTAGTGATGACTTCCAAATGATTTTTCGTCACTAAAGTGGCTATTCATTCTTTAGCGACTTTTATGAAAAATTATTTTGTTATTAAAAGTTTATTTATTGAGAGAAAAAAGGGACAACTGATATGGTTACTTGGCTGTGAGGCTTTGAGAAAAATAATAAAATTATTTTGTGTTTAGTTATGTTAAGTTATTAGTTGGAGTCATCTACCTTTTCTTCTTTTACTTCACTATATTGCTGATGAATTTTATTTTGGTTACTTTTCTTTAATTTTGTTGACATGATTAATTTGAGCTTTTCACACCTTTTTGGTTGACAAAAAGTTTTTGTTTATAATTACTACAATAATTTAGGAGATGAAGAGTTTCGAACCCATGACCCAAGTGTAAAAACTCAACACCTTATCCACTGTTATATTGAATTTTGTTAATAGGTAATTTAGATTAGGTCATTGACGAATATTTTTGCACCATACGTATCAAAATCTAACAGAGAAATGACATCAACATGAATATTTGTAAACCACACACAAAAATGACCATATTTATGTCTTAGCGTAACAAATACATCAGCTACCATATTCACTTATGTGTTGATGTAATTTTAATTGGTGATTTTGAGGTGCTTCTGCTTCCTTTCTGGGTTGTCTGTAATTTTGTTACGCCACTGATCTTTTACAAGTTAGAAGTTAAAACCAAACAAGTCCCTTCCCTTTCCGGAGCGCTCCACGTTTTTCCTAACGAATGGCATTGTGCTTATGTTGTATTTATATGTGCTTGTGGGCTTCCTCTTGGGTGGTGCTGGTACTACATCCCATTCGAGCTATGTTTTTATTAGCCTTGGCCATATCTTCAAGATATGTGCGATCATATGGCATCTTACATTCGAGCACAAAAATTATCTTTTTGTCTTTACAATTTTGATTTAATTTAATTTCATCAAGCAGTTTTTTATATTTTTTTATACGATTTGATTGAATGTGTATAATTTGGGGCTAATTGCTTGACACATGCGAAGTCATTGTGATGTATCTCTAGTCAATCATGCATTGTCATGTGAAAAGAATTAGATGTATGTAGATACGCAATTAGTTTAAGATAATTGCATGTCAAAGTGATATCCTACTAAATATTCATATTTTATAACCCTAATTTGAAGTGTAGGTAAATTTACGGAGAAATTAGATTCTCATCCCTCATTTTTCTATTTCATTGATTGAAACCTTATTTCTTTTCAACTTTTGATCAAGTGATACTACTAATTTAGAGCTCGTTTGAAAGTGCTTTTATAATGACTGAAAACGCTTTTAGAGAAAATGCTTCTAGGTTCCAAAACCACCTAAAGTGTTTCCTGCAAGAAGCACTAGTTATGTGTGTTTACTTCAAGTGTTTTTTTCAGAATTCATTTGCATATTTACTAAAGATTGGTTTAAAAAACATTTTTACAAAAGCCTCTTTCAATCATTTTAATGCAATTCTAAACGAGTCGTTAACTTAGTGGTCTGGTTGTTTACTAATTTGATTTGTTATGTTATTATTTTGGATTACATTAGGAGTCATGTAGAGATGGTGAAGAGGTTCAAGATATGGAGTTACAAGGAGATTTGCCAATGGTTCACAATGGGCCCGCCACATACATCTACTCCATAGAAGGGCAATTTATATTCGAGATGGAAAGTGGGCCAAGCCCATTTGTGGCCCAACATCCTGACGAGGCCCACGCATTACAACCTACCTAATCAAACCTCACCATGAGACATTCTTCCATCGGCTGGATCGTACTTTTACCGACTACATTTATGTTGTAGCTGATAAATACCCCTACTGGAACAGAAGTGGTGGGGCCGACCATTTTTTTGTCTCGTGCCTTGAGTGGGTTCATCATCAATCTTTTGATTTGCATTATAATTTAGTATTATCAAGGATTTGCAAGGACAAATCAACCATTTGAATTTAGATTAGTTGGTTTCCTTACTTGGACAATTTGTTAGTTTAGGTTGTTGCCAAGGAATACGGAACCTCTCCAGACCAAAATGTCCAGAGGTTAAGAATCAGAAATTTCGGGTCTTTGTATTGGGTGAAAGAGAATCGAAACTCTTAATTTGTGTGAGGTGATAATCAAAATGAGTTCATGAAGATTTAGATTCAATTTGAGTAGGCTGTATTGTTTATTTTTGGACTCCAAATAGTGAGATCCATAGAGGATCTCTTGTCCGTTAAGCCAGTTAACAAAACGACATTTCATGCACTTTGAGATAACTTGGCTGATTGCCGATCCTAGTCACTTGTTGGTTTTGTAGCACAACTAAAAGTTAGCAGGTTTTTGAGTTCGATTTGGCACATAGTTAGATAAACGTATCATAATTATTATGAGATAACATAGATGATTAAATTGCATCTAAGAACATATGTTGTCTTTCAACTATTATGGATTTGATTTTTCAGGCACCAATTATCCCAAGTGATGACCCGAGACCGTACAAGAATCTCATGAAGGTGTTATGCAACACAAACACCTCTGCAGGATTCAAGCCTACTAGAGACGTCTCATTGCTAGAATATAACCTAAAAGCCTTTGACCTTGGGCCACCACGCCTCGGAGAACCCCCAGACAAGTGTCCACTCCTTGCCTTCTTTGCCGATGCTGCTCTTGGAGAAATCAGAAGCATTCTGTTTGGGCATGGGAAGGAAAAAGATGATGAAGTTCGAGTTTACGAAAAGCTCCCTAGGGACCTGAACTACCACAAACTAATGGGACAAACCAAGTTCTGCTTGTGCCCAAGTGGGTCTGAAGTGGCAAGTCTTAGAGTTGTGGAGGCAATGCATGCAGGGTGTGTCCTGGTGTTGATTTCTGACTACTATGCAGTACCATTTGATGATGTTCTTGATTGGAGCAAGTTTTCGATACAAATTCCGTCCAAGAGAATATCAGAAATCAAGACAATACTGAAAGCTGTTCCTTACTCAAGGTACTTGAAATTGCAGAAGAGGGTGATGCAAGTAAAAAGGCACTTTGAGCTCAAGCGAACAGCTAAGCCCTATGGCGTATTTCACATCGTGCTCCACTCGATATGGCTTAGAAGGCTCAACATTCGGTTACCAGATCGGTTTTGAGCATCTCGGCATCTTGTAAAGTTCTTTATCAAATTTTTTTTAGCGTGAGATATGATATTTTATTAAACTCACTATGATGCACTCAAAAGTCGAGTGTTGTAGACGATATGTACAATTCCAAATCAGATTCGGTCAACCATTCCTATCCTTCCATATTATCGTCCAATCTAGCTCTTGCCCCAGCTTGCTCCTGCATCGAGTAGGCATGAGCCTCATGGTAAAAGGAAAAACAAGATGTACGCACAATGCGGACAATGCAAAAACAAGATGTATGTTGTGCCTGCTCGATGCGGGAGCAAGTTAGGGCAAGATGTATCATCGATTTAATTAGAACACCACAACGATGACCAAAACTAATGAGCACCGTCATAATAAGCTATGGCTAAGAAGATTCAGAATGAATACCCTCCAATTTAACCAAATAAAATTAATGGTTCTGTAAGATTTATCTTTTTGCCTTATAAATATGTGATGTTTAACCCTAAACCCTAGGTGTGGTTGTTTACTAACTAAATATGTGATTTTACCTTGGGTTAAAATAGGAGTCACATAGAGGAAATTTACCATTGACGCACAATTGTCTCTGTTCGTCGCAGGAATCTCCTGGCGGACGAGCACACAGCTCCCCTGGGAGAATGGCGTCGGTTGAGGGTATCTGTTGTACTTCTGCTTTCTTCTCGGGCTCGCTCGGGCAAGCCTTTGTCGGGCAGATCTTGGTCGGGCAAGACACACTTCGGGCAAGGCTCGTCGGGCAGTTCTGAAAGAGAAGGACAAAGTTAATTTGAAAGGGTGCCTTTGTGGGGCCTTAGGTGTAGGCCTTAAGGCTCACAATCAAGATTAACTTTGTCGTGCTCAGGCGTGCCACTGCCATCTTCAGTATGGCAGATGTTGAATGGGTGTTAAGCTTTGATTGAATATGTATACGCCCGAGAAACCAAGTTAGATATAACAGGTGCCTTTGTGGGGCCTTAGGTATAGGCCTTGAGGCTTCCTGTCAAACTAAACCAGCGCTTGGATGTATCATATTTGGTCTTTTATGGTTGCCAGAGTCTTATCACTATTATACCTTTGATTATCTGAATCCAAGAGGTAGGACGAACCCAAATGAGTGCCTTTGTAGGGCCTTAGGTATAGGCCTTGAGGCTTCCCATCAGAGTTAATCCTTATACTCGGACCAACTAGACCGCAACATGAAATGAAGCTAAATAGATGCCTTCGTGGGGCCTTAGGTGTAGGCCTTGAGGCTTTCTATCAGAATTCACTCCATGCTTAAGCCTTTTCTACGAATCAAGATATAATAGCAACAAAACGGAGAAATAGATTGATTACTTGCGCCCCAAGTAACTTCGGACTTCTCGCTTATCAAGGATTGTCGTGGATGGGTTAAGTCCACATAGAGTTCTTTTTTATGCCTTGAGGCCAATGACTTTTAAACTGATCTTTAAATTACATGTCCGCCGGGCTTAAGACTTAGATCTGATTTGAACTCTGACGCGATTCAGATCGGATTCAAGTGCTGAAGACTCATTTTCATTATGACTTTGCTAGAAATAACTTGTATATAACTGGGAATATATAACATGTTATTGTGCTTTTAAAAGAAAGAAAAGACAAAGACAGAGCAAAGATAGTCGGGTAAGTTTGAACCTTATTGGCCAAGGCTGAACTTCTTACAAAATCTATCTTTGTGGCTCTGTCAGAGGTCTGAAAGCTTTTAGAAGGGTTGACGGGGGAGAAGAGGATACAAAATGAATCGATACCACCATGAACAAGGTAGCAGAGCTATTACAGGGGTTTGGGAAGGTTTATCCCGAATGGGATGAAGGCTTGTGCTGACTACAGCTTCGTTGAAGGCAAATCTGGCTTGAGCAGAGTTTTGGCTTTTGTTTATTTGTTTGAGTGTCCTTAATTCTGTCTTCTCTTCCTCCTTTTATAGACGACTTCAGCTTGGGTTCCTGTAGCAATAGCGGTGCCCGAATGCGGTTTGGTGATGACTCACTAGCTTTTTTACATGAATGCCACCAATAAAGTACTTTATTGGGCTGTGTAGTGACTGAATAGCCTACCCCCTGTGGTCTTTGAGCAGGTAAGCAGGTGGCCTTTGTAACTTGTGCCCAGCCGAAAGCCTCTTTCCTGCCTCCTAAGTTTTCCTCTGGGCCTTGGGTTTGGGCCGACTTTCTCTCTGGCCCAAAGTTCAGATTTTATCCCAAACAGTCTCACTGTCCCACCACCACCATCTACTACATAAATGGGCAATTTATATTTGAGATGCAGTGCAACATCCGTGCATGCATTCTTCTTGCGTTGATTGTGTCCAAGATCACTGAGGCCATCTCCAATCGAAGGAGATCCAAATGACTCCTTATAGCCCTATAATTCTGCAATAAATTAATATTTTAATGAACAGTGTCATACCATATTTTATATCATCTCCAACCGAGGAGGCCAAAGGGCCATAGGACAAACATAGTCATTTGACAAAAAACCATCTTCAATTGAGAGGGCCATGAGGTCATAGGTTAAACATAATTTATTATTTTAATTGAATTAATATGGTTAATTGAATTGAACTACCATATTAAAATAAAGTTTTCGGACATATTTTAAGTGCCACTTGTCACTAAATTAATAAGCCTTTCAGATTTCTTATCTTTATATAATCAAAATGATGTGAAAAATTGGTGATGAATTGAAATAAAATGAGGTAAGATAATATGGAATGATAAAAATGATGTGAGTAATGGGGTAGAAATGGTTTAGGTATTTATAAAAACAAAATTTGTCAGGAAAAAAAAAGAAAAGAAAAGTCAAACAGTAACATGACGTCAGGCTTAGGTTGGGCTGGTTGCTCTTGGCCAGCCCTTTGGACGGGTGGGGCCCACGAGCCATTTGGCCTAACCCTCGGTTGGAGACGGTTTTCATGTCAAAACGGACTATTTTTAGTCCTATGACCCTTTGGCATGGTCGGTTGGAGATGGCCTGATTTCCAGTAAAAACCCCACCGCCACACCTTTTTTCATCGACTAGATTGAATAGGAGCGGTGGAGTTGATCATTTTTTCATCTCACCGAATGAAACTTGAGTAGGGCCACTTGAAATATGTATTCTACATTTTTTTGTTGGACGAAAAATTCTCTAATAGAAAGATGTAAAATATCCATCTTGATAAAACTTAAAAGGAAAAATCACTCCGTTGTTGACCTTGGCTGTTAGTCTTGGGGTCGACGGCAATCTCTCTTGATTTTTTCCTTCTATTTTTTTCCATGAATCTTTTTTGTTTGTGGTCACTTTTTTGTTGAGAGGAGAAGAGTTTTTGTGATTGTACTCGATCTCTCGCTTTGTCGAGGAGAGCCCTTGTGATGACTATGACTTACAAATCAAATTCAGATCCTTAAGCAACGGCTATTGTTCAGAGTCAATGTTGGTTTTTGTTTTTCGTATGGTTCGTGTGCATGACAAAGAACTATCAGAAAGAAACTCGACATTTGTTGGAGGTGACTCATAACAATTTTTCCTGGAAAACATATAAAATTATGAAGGAGAACCACATATAGACGATGAGCAAGAAGAAATGGGCAAGGAAGAACAACAGAAAGACGGAGAACAACAGAATGGGCAAGGAAGAAAGAAGGCAAAGAAAACTAAAACATGGTTCTTGACTGCAAGATCTAGTATCAACGGCTACGATTAGTTGGTTCCAAAGCATTCGCAGATAATTGATCCGTAGAGGACCCTTGTCCCTATCTTTCTTTATCAATTTTATTATTTTAAATCTTGAGGTCATACTGCCTCCCCTCACCATTTCTCTCATAGCAGTTCCAGTGTGGTCCATTGTCCCTAAGACAATCCATTATGCTATCCATCCAATGAACAGTAACTGTTTTTAATGAACAATAATTGCCTTTTGCATCTCCACCCCTGCACTCAATAGCCCTGGCAATTGGCAATAAAATATTAATATTTTTTTAATTTATAAAATAATACAAAATAATTTTATTTGTAATTTCGGATAAGATTTTTAATCGTTCTCGTTGCGCCACGTGTCATTAATCGAAAAGAATATAGCAATAAAATATTAGAATTTTTTTTATTTATAAAATAATACAAAATAATTTTATTCGTAATTTCAGATACGATTTTTAATCGTTCTCGTTGTGCCATGTGTCATTATCTGAAAAGACAATTATTGGTGATGGATTTCCGTTAAGATTTTTAACTAATCACGTCGCGCCACGTGTCATTATCCGAAAAGTAAATATATAAAACTATGAAATTGGATTCAAACTTGACAATATATGAAATTGGTTTCAAACTTTGAGAAGATATGAAATTGTGGTGTAAGGTAGAAGATAATGAGAAGGTATTTATAGAAAAGTAAAATCTTTTTTTTTCAATTTTTTTTTTCAGATTTTTAATAATTTTTTACAATTTTTAAAATTTTTTATTCACCTAATTAATCTATACCGTTGGATTTAAACCAATTTGAATTCCAACACTCCATATTGTGCCACGTGGCCCAACGGTAATATTTCTGATTTTTTTACTGTTTTGTTTTGTTTTTTTTAATTTTTTAAGTCTAATAACGTGGACCGTTGATCTTAGATCTAACGGGTGATATTAAATGAAGTTTTTTATTTTTTTTACTGTTGGAAATCCAACGGTTCACAATTTATATCCGTTGAAATCCAACGGCCGTGGGGAAGCCACGTGGCTCCCCAACGGTAACAAAAAGTATGCACATATTTTCCAGATTGGCTAAATCTGATAAATGTAATAGAACATTCGGAAGATTACATTTTTGTAATAACAAAGTTTAGTGTGTATTCAATTAGGAATTTAAGATAATCTTAAAATTCTATGTAAAAAATTGATTCAATTCTTTTAAAATCTCATGAAGAGAGACGTAAGATTTGTATATACTTAAAATACACTAAGAAATTTCTCTAATTTTAATTAGGAACGTAAATTAACGAAATTAGTTTGGGGATGAATTTTAAACT